CTGGCAGACCAGTGTGCTTGGGATCCAAGTGTTTGGTGCTCAAGTACACACGGTCGCCAACCTCAAAAAATGTTCTTGTCGGTTCTTGTCGTAGACATCACGCATTCGCGCTTGCGTTTGAGCAAGTGTTTTGTTGTGCCCACTTGAGTTATTCAATATTATTCGGTATCCTCTGTCCAGGACCCAGTGTTAGAGACGTGCTTGGTACATGCACGTGAGGTATTCCTACAGTTAGCTAGGATCAACCCCGCGATATTGCAGTACAAATTTGTATTAATAGTAATACTTCGAAGTAATACTTGAGCGTTTGAGGCCGAAAAAAAAAATGCTGTAAGTGTAGCCATCTGGTTTTACTACTATACTAGGCGGGAGAGATGCACGTCTCTCCCAGTGTTCGTGGCACACCACATGCCCGTGACTGGACATCCACTCCTCTGCCTCACTGGGCTTCCACCATGTGCCTCTATTGCATCTTCAGTTTTGCTTTTGAACGACTTCAGTTACAGCATTAAACAATGGTTCGATCACCTCCTCGGTTCTACGAAGATGGATCCGAGACTTCGGCATGCTACTATCCTCCGGACAACATGGGCCCGTACCTGTCGTCGTCCTACAACCAACGCACGGCTCCAAAGAAGAAAGAGCGCTCAAAACTGATGCGTCGACTGATTCCTTTCGTTTGTGGTGCGTTAGTATCCTCGAATTGGTACAAAAGTATCTCCGACGCCCATTCACATTGTCGTGTTCTCTTTCTCCAGGTGTGTTAGTATTGGTGATTGTCATCGTAATTGTGGCAGTAACGCTACATTCCAATTCGAGCAAGTCTGAAGATACGACAAGCTCTGACAGTGGTGGAAATTCGACTTCAGCTGCATCTGCGTCGACACTACCGTCGTCGTGCTCCCCGGTCGCTGCAAAGGACCGAACGGTGGCCTTCTGGCAGAGTGAAGTGGCAGGATGTGACTCTGTTCCGGACGGAGTCACGCACATCGTCTTCGGCTTCGCACTCGTCTCTGACGGGGTTATTGTGCCGACGTTCCAGTCCTCCGATGCGACTATCTCGGAGTGTGTAGAGAAGCTTCATGAACGGTGTATTCTTGCAATGGGCAGTATCGGAGGATCGACCAACAATGAGAACATGTCAGCGGTTAGGAACTCCACGCTGTTTGCTGAGTCTGCCGTGGTTTTGATGACTAAATTCGGATTTGACGGACTGGATCTCGATGACGAGACTGTAGGAGCGGAGTTCAGTGCTGATCGAATGGTGGGGATGTTGAAAGCTACACGAGAAGCGCTGGATGCTTCAGGTAGCACCTCGGCTCTACTGACATATGATGCGTACTTCTATGAGGGTGACACGTCGGTCTGTTCAGCGGCGGACAGAGCAGCGTACTCGAGGTGCTTCCCGTCTGAAGTGCTGGACTACGTGGACTGGGTCAACATTATGGCATATAACGTCAACCTGGACAATGACACTGCTGCAGCGATATATGCCGCTGCTGAGAGCACCACATTCGCTGCGTGGGGAACTCAATTTGGTGGGAACTACTCGTTGGCTACGATCGGTCTGTGCGTGGGAGGAGGGTGCGCTTACGGACCCGGACCAAACGCTACGGTTATTGCAGAATGGGAAGCGTTTGGCCGCCAAGAAGGGCATGGAGGTATGATGATTTACTCAGCATCAGCAGAAGTGGGTGGCGATTATCCTGTTACTCGTAGCATCGTCAGTACGACGGCATGAGAAAAAA